TTCCTCTGAGCGGTCCGGCGGAGCAGGTCTCCGCCCCGGCCTGCTGCTCCCGCGTCCTGTGCGCAGCTTCCTCCCATGCGACGTTCTGCGTGTCTCAATCCGCGGCCCCCGGAAGTCCCGACCCTTTCCACTGGGCGTTCGGTCATGGGGGGGCGATAATAATGGGGGCGCCGTCGAGGGTTGCACGAAAGGGGTCCCAAACGAGCCCCCTGGGGCCCCGACGGGGTACGAAAGGTGCACGGAAGGTGCACCTCTCTTACCCCCCCCTTTTATCGCCCCCACATGATTGCCCGATTCCACAGGACCTATTTCTCGTCGCTCCTTGACGCTCCCGGGGGCCCGGCGAGGGCCCCCGGGAGGCCGATCATAGCAAGAAAGCCTCCCGTCGTGTTCCGCTTGCCTGCGGGCTGATTCGCGGGTGCCGTGTCCCGGCGTCGCCCCGACGCGCGTGCGGATCGTCTCTGCCGCGCTGCGGCGTAGGACAAGGAAAAGCAGTCGTTTCACGACGCGAGCAGGTCTGGGGAGGATTCTCCACCTCTGGCCCCTGCGCGCGAGTCTCGCCTCTCTGGCGTTGAGTCGGGCGTGTCCTTCTCTACAGGGGGAACATCCAAGAACAGGCAAGAGATAGTGAGGGGACGATTTGTTGGTATGTCTTATTGTTTTCCAGCATGTTTCAGCAATTAGCTCGCCCAGTAGCCCGCTTGCAGGAGGACGCGCTCGACCCTACCTCTGGCGCCGCCGGGCCCCGGGCCGCGCGCGCCATCTCCTGCGCTGCCCCTGTGGCGTGGGCGCGCCGCCTGCCCCTTCGCTCGGGGCCTCCCTGGGGCGGGGTCCGAGTCGAGGGGGTCGGAGGGTCGCGCCGCATCGCCGACGCATCGGCGATGCATCGCCGACGCGTCCGCGGTGCGGCGAGATCCTCCGACGCCGTCCGCTCGGGCCCCGCCCCGGGGAGGCCTCCGGCGCGGGAGGTGCAAGTCCGAGAACCCCGCGCTGCAGTTCACGTACTTCTCGCAGCTGGTGGTCGTCGGGGCGACCGGCAGGGGCAGGGGAGGAGTCGACTGCACGTGCCCTGAGATCCTGGCGTCGCAGGTGTTCTTCGCGACGGGCCTCTTCGCTGCGTGTCGCGGGCCCCTGGGGCCCTCACAGATCGATCCGGCTGGACAAATGACGCAGGAAGATGTGGTCCTAGGCTCAGGCCGAGATGTTTGGTTTTTTTTGGCGATGTCGTATGTTTGTTGCAACGTCGGATCTCAGGGTAAGAGTGACCCTTCGCGGGAGTGGCCTTCTGGTGAGCGCCTATCAGGGCTCTCCGATCGCCGAGAGCGGTGCGATGGTAGCGTCTTGCGCGCTTGTGTTTGGTCCCCCCGCGGCCCACACAAAGCCGCGCACCAAAGGTCACGCTTACCCAGGGTCTCTCCTTCGTGTAGCCGAAAGAAGGGGCGCAAAGGCCGACGGCACCTCCTGCCCATTTTGAGTAGGACCCGTTGTCGGTGTCGACGCGGGCGTTGGTCATTTGAGACAGAAGGCCGCCTGCCCAACAGTGGCCGCCGTTAGTGTTGGGACAACATGTGTTGTTGGGCGTCGTACCCATTTCTTCCGAGCCCATTTCGGGCGTCCAGAGGTCTGGTTCCTGCAGAAGCTCCGGCTGCAGGCCCCCAGCTCTCTCCGGGTAGCCAATCTCGCCATGGGGTGAGCGGGTCCTGAGGGAAACGAGCCTTGAGGTTTCTCTCGGTGTTTGGCTCCCCGGGGCCTTCCACGGCCCGGGGGGGGCTGTCAGGAAAAGACTAAGGATGAAGAGCTCGTCCTGAGGGACGGCTGTCGTGTCCAGGACCCGTTTGCCTCAGGACACGGTTCTCCCATGCCAGGGTAGCAGAGCATGGAAGCCTTCATTGTCGTCTGAACTTCGTTGATGAGCGTCGAGTAGCGTCTGGCAACCAATGAGATGGTACCAATGTAGTTCCGATCAGCGTCGGTTAGCATCGACAAACGTCGATTTGGCGTCGACCACGGTCG